CAACCTAAGTGAGTTCACGTACAGGTTAACACACCCTGTGAATTTGGCATCTCTAGCTCTCTTGTTCCTGAGGTCTCTGCGGATGAGATTATCGTCCCCCCCCCTCTCCCACCCGAGCGAAGGGTATTGAACCGGCCACCCGGGCGCCCGCTCATTTCATAAACACCGCTGTTTTTCATGAAAATACCTTGAGCCCAGGCTTGCATCAACAGCATTCATTGCCCCTCGGGCACTTAGGCTTCGAGATAGGATATTTCACCTTAGACTAATTTAATTTCTTGTTCGTCCAAGCTATGCGTACGCGCAGTTTCGATTTCCCAACGATTGTTTGAATGTGATAAGTGTCTTGATGTGTAATGCATGCTGGCTTAAAATCGCCTTCATGTATCAGTGTTGTCTGACGCTTGATACACGATGTCTGTTTAATTGAAATCGTTTGCGTGTAAAAGTGATGCGTGATGCGAGATGTCTGTGTTCTTGAAATCGCTTGCGGAAGTAAATTATCTGTTATGCGTGATGCCTGTGAACTTGAATTCGTTTGCACATACACGTATTTTTCTCGCAATAAGATTCTCAGTTAGATGTGCACTTTATCGCAGAAATGACCGGCAATTGCTTTTGTTTAATCCCCTGCATGTTGGTGGCCTGTAAAAACTGTGGCTAGCTGTTTTTGAAGGAAAAAACTGAGACGTCGAGTGAAATCTGCAGACAAATTTGAATTTGTACCGATATTCTTTTTGATAAACGCATGCAGCCAAAATATCACATTCATCTCTCCATTTTCCTCTTTCCTCTTTGAAAAATAAAGCAATCAATGCTGTTTTATCTATACGCATAGTGTTCCTCACAAATGCACTTTACAATTTGCGAAGCGCTGCCATAATGTCGATAGTGATGGCGGCATACCCTCTACATAACAATTTAAACGTAATGTAAAGATTTTGTCCGGTCACTAAGGTGAGTCTAGACCAAAGTCATGCCATAACGGCAGGTCGACTTCAGTTACAACTGCGTTGGGAGCTATGGCTAACTGCCTAACCTGTAAATGAATCGTGTGCAGGGTTGGTGTGTAGTCGCATATGCAACCGCTGCAACTGGAAGAGCGTTCATTGCAATATTCAAAGGGCGGGACCGCCAGCACCCTCTCGCTTTCATAGGATTGGGTCGCCGCAGACTCGCCCTGCGGTCGAGTTTCTCTGTTCCCGACGTAGTATCACATGCCTGCCGCCGACAGCAACTCCAAAGGTCCCCCCCTGTACCCACCCGCGAACAAAAAACAAACTCGAATTCAGTTAGTAGCCTGTGCCAGGGAACTCAGTTGAAGTCGCCGGGGGCGATAGGGTCCGATACCCACCAGACATACACGCGATTTCAAACAGCAAAACGAAGGTAATGCAGATGACTTTGTGGACTGCAACATATCTCAATTTTGGTGTTTGGGAGTTCCCCTGTCATCTACGCCACCCATTTTGCTTTTTTGTCTCCTTCTTCTCACCTTTCCGCCAACTAACCCCTAATCCCTGGGTTCAACCCGCCGAACTCGCCGAATGTGCACCAGCTTAGGCGCAAGCACCCGTCGGTTCTGTAGCAAATTGCAGGGTAACCTTGGAGCTTAGTGACGTAATCCTCGGTGTCCGACCTCACACGATGGTAGTAATGGAAGTCACTCGGTAAGTAGCATCGAATGCCCTTTCTGCATGATATATTTATTGTTTCGTATTTGTGACGTTCAGCCAGCTTACGCTTGGAACACATTTTGAAAAGAGCTCTAACGCGTTCGTTGGAATAGGCGTCAGTAAATCCCGAAATACTGTTTCACCGACCGAGAAGCCATGTCAAAGTAGATCCCCGCTGTCGCTCACCGTCAGTGCGCGTCTAGAGCTATACCAGGGAAAGCCGCAGGCCGCCCATGACAACCCAGAGCGTCAGCGTGATGGTACATTGGCTTGAAGTGGCCATTGGCTCTAAGCTGGCCCTCAATTTGTCCATACAGGCTATTACTGGTTATGGACCGGACCAACACACTGCATGACGAGCCGACGGCGCTGCGCGTGGTGATCCTGGCGCTCCTCGACCTCCTGCGTGTCCTGAGTCTGCTGTTGATTGGTATCCCGGACGTCATTTTTAACCACGTTCTGTATGCAGCCTGCCAATCCGTTCAGATCGCAGCCGCCGGTTTCGCAATCGCTCTGAAGATGACGCAGATGCTGGTCGCCCTCGACAAGTTTATCGCCGTCGTCTGTCCGCTGCGTTACCGCGATATCATGGACTGCTGTATGCAGTGGCTGCTTGAATGGCCCTGGCTGGCTGTCCTGTTTACGGTTGTGGTGGGGACCGCCTGTTCTGCCCTCCAGTTGGAGACCGTCTACCAGTTCGGACAGCGCATTGGAGAATTAACTGTTGTTGGACAGGATTGGCGCTGGGAAAAGCCGCCGAGCGTTTATATGTTTCTTGATGAAGCCTTTCTTTTGTTTCTTTCGGTAGCCATCGGATTTTTGTTCGTCCTCACTGGAATCAAAGGACTTCGGCAGAATCAGATGGAGACGATTTCGTCAGGAATCACTGACGGCATTGCAAACAACTTTGCCTTGACTTGTACCAAATCTTTCAAAAAAATTGTCAAAGTTTTGTCGCTCTTCGTCATTCTGGACATCATCGGAGGTGGTCTCAGGATCGGCACCAGCTGGACCAGCATGCCCACACTAGCATATATACTCCACCTTACTCGTCTCGGCTGCCTGGCTGCCGAAGCATGGGTCTACAGCATGAGACACGTGCTCGTGCGATAGGCGTTCAGCAACAGCCTCCAGCCCCTTCGAGGCCTCTTTCGTCGTGGGGAATCCCGCAACTCTGTCCAACCATCACGCTAAACGCAAGATGTCGTACGGCTCTTTAGCTGTTGGAAGCTCTCTTAGACACAGTGCGTTGAAAGACTAACGTCTACGCGCAGTTTTCACTCGTTGAGCTGTCATCCTTAGCTGTTAAACGTTTCGACCCCTCGGGTGACCCCGTGGTTCTCACTCTATCTGAGATGGAGGCCCCTCGGATGTTTCCCCGGTTTCGACTCCTTTGCGGGTTAATAATCTTCGGGTGCCCGTCCTTTCACTGCTGCCACTGGTCGTGCCGCGCGCGACGAAAGCCACCGAGCGGCTCGCATGACGTCCACAAGCTCTGTAGCTGAAAAGTCAATGTAACCTGTGTACGCATGATGTAACATCATTGCACGCAATGGAACACGTGTGTGTACAATGTGCTTTAGAGCACTCAACGTACTGGATCAATAGCCAGATGTCGGATGGATCTGCAAACGGATTGCATCGGACCAGAAAAGTTGGGCAACGCAGGAAGCAGTGAGAATGTTATAACACAACAGGAACGACAACTTGACGAGAAAAAAAACTAATTTAACTTCCACACATGCTAATTCAGGATCAAACTACAACAGAATAACCATATCATGGAGCTCATAGTTGCAAACATCTTCGTTGTAATGATGGCTAACTGGAGGTTCAGATGAACATGTCATTGAGTATGATATTCGGTAGAAAGCGTCTGCTAACCAACAATGATTTGATATTTTGAACATGTTATTATTATCAGAACTCGTAATGTATTGACACGTTGATATTTAATTCACATCTATTAAATCTAAACTGTGTGGATATTAGAAAATTTCAAGTTCAAAACTTAGCTACGTGTTTTAGGAGGATTCCATTTCGTTCAGATGTTAATTCCCCCTTTTATTAAGCCTGATTTTTCTTCGAGGGTTCAGCTTCTTTGCAAACAATATGGGCTTATGCTGGTTATTTTCTAAGTCATGTGTCCAAGATATGTGCTCAGACCTACTTCCATTCACGCCAGGTAAAAACATAAGGTCATTTGTAACTAGGAGCTTATTCTGGCAGTCATTCAGAATACTTAAACCCAGCTCATAATTGTTATTTTTCCGTCGGTCACAAAGTCTGATTAAAGTTGTTACAAAGCAAGCCGAAAATAGGCTGATGTGTGACATATTTGGATGTTGATGATGTTAGAAGCAAACAACATTAATGCGCATGGATACGCATTGGCATGAGCATAATTTAGCTCAGCCGGATCATGATGGATTTGGAAAAGAAAATTCCAGAAAGTCACATTGGTATGAAAGCCGCACTCCGCTGATGCAGTGTATGTGTTTGGACTTTGAAATCATACCTAAATACGTTTTCCTGTACGGTGCGTCTAGCCTACGAAGTGCATGATTGAAAGGTGTACGCCAGCGCCAGGAATATCATGGTATTGCTCGGCGGACTCTTGTGCAGTATAATATAAGCGTGTGTATTTCTGTTCTCGGGTGATTGCTCTACCTTCCCCGTGTCATTTTGGGCCCACAATAATTGGTGAGGATCCGGAACCCCGTTCTGTGAATTTCACTTTAAAATAAGGAGTCATTGGAGAATGGGGAAAGAGCCAGGAGAAGGGCATGGGAGTGATCTGACATCGCTCATCCTGACTCGTGCAAACACATGGTTTTAGGGAGGAAGGTGAAACATCATGTTAACCATAGCGATATGAAACCAACTAAACGCTCACTTTTCTAATTCAGAAGCACCTTTCAGCTCTGTGGCAAAGCGCATGGAGGCCTCCGAGGTTTGTGGCGTAATCTTCGGTGTCCGGCCTTATACGATGGTAGTAATAGAAGTCACTCGGTAAGCAATATCGAATGCATTTTGTGCAAGGTTATTTGTGTACGTCTTCAATCCTTATACCAAACTTGAATCGATTTTATTTTTTTTAATTTGTGCCATTCAGCCAGCTTACGCTTGACATACATACTTTGGAAAGAGCTCTAATGCGTTCGTTGAAATACGCTTCAGTAAATCCCGAAGTAATTGGTCATTTACCATACTGCGAGATGTCAAGTTAAAAGAGATCCCCGCTGTCGCTTACCGTCAGTGCGGCTCCAGAGCTAGGCCAGGGAAGGTCGTAGACCACCCATCAGGACCCAGAGCGTTAGCGTGATGGTACCGTGGCTCAAAGTGGCCGTCGGCTCTGCTCTCGCCCTCAATTTCTCCATACCGCTGTTGGTGATCGGTCGGACCAAGACACTGCATGACGAGCCGATGGCACTGCTCGTGGCAAACCTGGCGCTCGCCGACATACTGTTTGTGCTGAATCTGGTGCTGATCGGTTGTCTGGACCTCATTTTTAACCACGTCCTGTATGCAGCCTGCCAGTCCGTTCAGATCGCTGCCGCCTGTTTCGGAATCGCTCTGAAGATGACGCAGACGCTGGTCGCCCTCGACCAGTTCATCGCCGTCGTCTATCCGCTGCATTACCGCGACATCATGGACCGCTGGACGAAGTGGCTGCTTGTTCTGCCTTGGCTGGCTGTCCTGTTTACGGCTGTGGTAGGGGCCGCCTGTTCTGCCCTGCAGTTGGAGACCGTCTACCAGTTCGGACAGCGCGTCGGGGAATTGACTGAAGTTGGACAGGACTGCCGTTGGGAAAAGTTGCCGAGCGTATATATGTTTTTTGTTGAAGCCTTTCTTCTCTTCTTTTCGGTAGTCACCGGATTTTTGTTCGTCCTCGCTGGAATTACAGGACTTCGACAAAATCAGGTAGAGGCGATTTCGGCGGGAATCTCTGACGGCACTGCAAACAGCTTTGCTCTGACACGTACCAAATCTTTCAAGAAAATTGTCAAAGTTTTGTCGCTCTTCGTCATTCTGGACATCATCGGTGGTGGTCTCAGGATGGGCACCCGCTGGATCAGCATGCCCACAATGACATCCATTCTGCACCTTGCTCGCCTCGTCTGCTTGGCTGCCGAAGCGTGGGTCTATAGCATGAGCCACGTGCTCATTCGCAAGGCGTTCAACAGCAGCCTCCAGCCGCTTCGAAGCCTGTTTCGTCGTGGGCAATCCGGCAACTCAGGCTAAACTCATCAGGCTGAACGCAAGATGGCGTGCAGCCCCTCCGCTGTTGGAACATCTAGATACAGCGCTGTTGAATGACGAATGTCTACACGCAGTTTTCACTCGTCCGTCGGTCGTCCTTAGCTGTTTAACGTTTCGAAGCCTCGACTCCTCCGGTGACTCCGTGGTTCTCACTCCATCTGACACGGAGACTCCTCAGATGTTTCCCCGGTCTCGACCCCTTTGCAGGCTAATACTTTTCGGGTGTCCGCCATTTCACTGTTGTCCTTGCTCGTGACGCGCGCGACGTAAGCCACGAAGCGGCTCGGATGATGTCCACGAGTTCTGCACCTTGGTATGTTAATGTACTGTGTGCACGCACGATGTAACATCATTGTACGCAATGGAACACGCATGTGTGTTATGGGCGTTAGAGCACTCCACGGGCTGGATCAAGCGCCGGATGTCGGATGGATCTGCAAGCGGATTGCACTGCACCACACAAATTGGACAACGCAGGAACCGGAGTGAGGGTGTTATAACACATCAGGAACTACAATATGACCGGATACAAACTAATTTAACTTCCAAACATGTTAATTCAGGCTCAAGCTCAACCATTGATATAGATTGTTACGAGCATATATTAGCTCAGCCGGATCGTGATGGATTTGGAAAACAATTCTAAAAAAGCCGCATGGGCGATCGCATTGGGTTCTGGAGATGCGTACCGGTCTAGATCAGATAATAATTCCCTTAAGTGCTCTACTGCGTGTCCTAAACGTAAAAATTTGCTTAAAAATATTGCCATATTTTAAAGACGTTGATACCCTGGGACGTTTTTTGTTGTGTAGTGTTGTGATGTGCTGCGACAGTGTCAAAAGTTCGGCGTATCGTAGCTTGTGGCTCTTCTTCGTGCTCTTCGTACCGTTATGTAAAAAAATAAAGACAAGGCAAATGATGCAGTGAACTTCCATCTTGGTTTTGTCGTAGAAAAGCAACTGATCTTAGGCGCCAAGGATTCACGCTACAGGCGTCAGCCACGGATGTGCCCAGAGACCACCTGAAGGAGTTCCTCGACATAATGTCTGACACACACACACCGCGGACACATGCGCAGGCTAAAGTTCAGCGGTCTCCCCCCCCCCCCCCCCCACCCCCAGGCACATGTGATCCTGCTCCGCCGTTATCAATTATCTTGCATCCCATAATTCTGAAGTGATCGTTTCTGGCCGAAAGGTCTTTATTCCAAACAACCAAACCAAAACAATCGTGTGCAGGCCTCGTATGAAACCATTCCTTCAGTCAACTGACCGTGTATGTACGTTGATGCAAAGGATGGTTTTCCTTAACTCGAAAAAACGAGATGATAATGGTTTTTCGTGGCCTTGAGCAATACGCTGTCAATGAGATTGCAAACTGGTTGGTATGGTCTTCGATACGTCATTGCCTGATAACGTCATGGTACATTGCAAAACATTTGTAGAGAGCCAACTGCTGACCGTTTTGTCTGGAAATGGTGGTAATGAACGCCAGGTATGAAGAACTCGACCACTGTATTTTATCAGTTTTCTTGCAGCGTAATATTATATTATTGATGTTTGGTTTGTATAAGGCCTGCCAATACTATGGGAAGTAAGTCTACGGCAATTAGGCATGTGTGTTAAGTTCGAATTCCCATATGAATAAGTATTTCTGTGCGGTACGTTTAGGATGCGAAGTTGTTGCTTGAAAGGTGTATGTCAGCGCCAGGTAAATTATGGTATTCTCCGGGGACGCCTGCCCGGTATGATACAGGCGTGTGGTTTTCTGTTCTGCCGTGATTGCTCTACCTTGCCCGTGTTACTTTGGGCCCATGTTTATTTCTGAGGGTCAGAAATACTGTTAAGTAAATTTCTTTTTAAATCAGGAGTGCTGAAATATCACAAGGCGCCCTTTTCAAGCATCGCCTGTTGACAATGGCAACCTAGGTTTATTGTAGAAACGTTGCTAGCTGAGCTGGCTTCTCAGTGACCATGTTCGTCTTGGAATATCCGACCTTCTTTCCAACCCGTGTAGTTAAACAATTACGTAACATAGCTTTAACAGAGCAAGCTCTCAAGCCTTAAAGGAAACACCCGGAAGCTCGGCGGTGCAGTATCCATCGGCTACACGGCGTTTACCCTTTTGCTGATATTAGGTGGTGGCTGGTGAGCGCACCACAACAGCATCGTTTCTCATAAGATTGCATTCGAACGCTTCAGGATGCCAATTTAGCCCTGACATTTTTTTGTTTTGCTTGATCACATTTTACCAATTGTCGACCATTTTAACGTTTATATTTCTGTCTGTTTTGAATTCAGAACACCACACAGTCACATACACACCATCATGGGTCGCGACAAAGTCACCCCCGCCGCGTGCACCGCCCCGTGTCCCACTGCGACTACCGCACAGTAACATACGCCGTCCGTCTGCCGCGCGAGTGCGCAAGCCGGACAGCTGTAGACTCCGCCTGGTGGCACGGCGGGACAGTCAGCCCCCCCCCCCTTCCCCCCCCCCCCCCCCCAGCCGGCAGCCCAGTCCCACAGCTCCCTCTGAAGTGCCCCGGCTAACATCATTTAATGTGGGCTCAAAATTTCATGGGGCACGGTAGGGCAAGCACGGCACAACAGATATCCACACCCCAGTGTCATACCGTGCAAGTGTCACACGGGGATTTATAGTTTACCTGGCGCTTGCTTGCGCGTAGGAAGCATTCACTTTTGGCACCTAGACAAACTGCACGGAACTAATTAACGAGGCGGGAATTCAAACTCAACACAAATATCCTGCGTCAGCGCAAGGTGGGTGAGTGTGAATGTGACACATGAGTGTGCAGCCAACAGCACAGTACGTACACGTTGGAAAATAACTAGGGAAATGAAAAATATTACACGCATAGTGGAGAGCAGGGAGCCAAATGCGATTTCTCCAACGGTGCTCACTACTTGAAATAAAAAATCGGAGTTATTCAAAAGAATTTCGAAGAGACTGGTACCATCAATCAAATCGTTCCCGTCTGATTGAGGAAAAGAACGCAACTAAAAATGTAGTAGTAGTTAAAAGTAAAAAAGTGGAGTAATCCATTTAATCTGCTTATCCAAGCTTCATCCTCTTATCAAAAGCAGAATACATTGACGTAGGATTGCAAAGATTTGTAGAAAGAACATTTAAATTTTCTGGTTGCACGGTGCTCTAAAATGCAACAAAAATCCAAAGGCATGAATTTGTCGTGGTTATGAGGCTAATAATCTAGGTCAAGATAAGTTGACTTACGCTTGTCTTCGACTGAATTTTTGAAGAATTTGAACTGAAGAACTTGTGTTGTGCTGGGCTTGTAACGACGCGATATTAGCCATAGTTAGGTACTGGCTTTGAATCTTAATATTTCTGTCAGAGGGCAGGAGGCAGTGGGCAGAGTGTCCGCTTGCAGCAGGGTTTACAAAAATTTGGCATTCGTCCTGTAGTAAGACATGCTATTTCAAAAAGAAGGCCTACAAAAGAAAGAAGCGTAAACCAAAGCGTTGAAAAGCCGCTCCACCCACCGAAATTTGAAGGCGTCTCCACGCATGCGTACTACGGATTATTCACATTGCGCCACCTGGGCTCAAAAACAAACCTCAGGATGTTTCTGAAATGCATCTCAAACCATTCAAGGGAGGCTGCAACTGCAGTTGTCTATCAACAGACCTTGCGAGCGTTTTGAAGTCACCTAAGCATTGGAGAAGAAGAAAAGAGAAATGAGAACGGCATGGGAGCAATCTGACATCGTTCATCCTGGCTCTTGCAAATACAAAGAGTCATGGAGGAAGGGGAAGCATCATGTTACCTATAGCGTCATGAAACTATCTATACGCTCACGTTTTTTTTGCAACTTCCAGGCCGCCTCTCTACCAACCACAAGCCACCAATCGCACGCGTTCTCCCCCAATCAACAGCCAGAACAACAGCTGGGCCCGATGCAACTCGCATAAGCCAATAACTAGCGGCCTGCCCAAGCTGTTCGCAAATCACATCCCGCAAATTTGAACCTCCGGCGAGCTGGCACCTGCAGTCCGCAGTGGGCATCGCTGGCATAGTTTTTTTTTGAACAGTTATCTCGACAATAGGATGTGCGGGGATGCGTAGCGCCGCGCGGTGGTCATGGGTGCGTAACGGGTAGGTGGTGGGTTCGATTCCCCGGACGGTGGTTGACTTTTGTTTGGGCCCACATTGCACGCTTGCATCGGCTTTTCTTGGTCACTTCATAGGCATGTAAGTAAAGTGATGAGACGCTCATGCTATCCAAAGCTCAGCCACCATTAATTTCATCATACGGTCAGGTGCCGGTCATGATGAGAAGTCACGCAGGCATTCGGCCCTTCCGTCAATATCATCGGCTCTGGACATACGCTCCTTGTATTTAGCCGGTGCTGAAGCCTAGCCGGTAACGTCGGCCGGTAAGCTGGTATCTACGAGTTGTCTGGATGTGATGTGAACCACGTCGCTTAGAAGAGCCTACCTCGAAACAAAAATAACCGGATTTCACCCACTTTGTTTCGGGTGGCTTGGTGTTTTTCGTTTTAAATGTACGTGTCGCAAGATGTAACTAAAACAGATGATGCAATTCTACCGGTATTAAATATGATAGTCATTCCACATTTCTGCAACAATACAAGCCAGCGGCATCGTGATCTCTGCATGGCC